CACTTTTAAGTATTAATCAACACACACCAATGACTAGTTATTATAAAATAATCAATGTTCAACACAATCCAAATAACACACTAAACAATTTAAATTTACAAAAAAGGCTCCAAATTAAAATTATAAACAGTGCCAGAAGCCCCAAGTCAACTGGAGTAGTGCTGTGAAGCCTTTGGGTTGCCTGAATAGTGGCGACACATCTTCTCCATGCACCACAATAACTGGCGGTATGTGGGTTCACGCACCGCCGCTGGTAATGCCCAGAAACGGGTGGATTTGTCCTACTTCTATCTTCCCTTCCCTTCCCTGCTGATTGTAAGGACCACCATTACTTGCAAAAGGGGAAAAACAAAAAAGAACACAACAAGCAATGATATGTTCTCAGTTTTTTTTTTGAACTATTTCACAGCAGATCTTTCTTTTATTTCACCTTCTTCCCCTCTGCTTCAGGTCGCTGGCGGTAAGGAGGAGCTGCTAGTGAGTGGGTTTCTGTCGTGTTGATTAGTAGTTAAAAGTGCATTTTTATTAAGATTTTATATTATCATTTTGCACTTGAAATATCAATAACTCCTTAACTAGAGCATGTTTTATAATAACAAGTCTGAAAATATCAGATACCTTTAATTTATTGTAAATGCTCATTTTAAATACATGTATTATCACAATTTAAAGGATTGATTGTTGTGATTAACTATTAGAAGTGAAAGGACAAAGAAAAGGCTAAGCTTAAGAAGAAGATGCCGATTCAATTCAAATTCGAACACTATTCAGTCATTGGATCATATCTAGAGATATAGATCTTGGATTTCAGATTAATTTATATGCTGGAAAGATAAGAAATAGACCTATAATTTTTATGGGTATGGAGAGACCCAAATTATCCATTTTCAAATTCAAAGTTTGGCCAAAAAAAGAAGTCTGAATCTGTCCTGCAATCCAACCCAAACACTGCTCAACGTTTTACCCATAACTGGAGTTCTTGAAGTCCAAATGATCTAAAATTTGATGGGTAGAAGGAAAGATAATTTCCAACAACTTTCATGAAGAAGACCAGCTCAAAGTCGGATGGTAGAAATGACATTTCATCCAAACAAGAGCATGAAGGCTATCCACCACGTCCACCAACAGCACGACTCAGTATTTTAGACATATCTTGAGTTATAGTGCTCCAAATGAGTGCTGTTGTCCACCATTGCCACTAATCAATAGTTAACCACTACATCAATTATCAATTACCAAATGAATAATTGTGAATTTTAGCCTATAAAAAGATGCATTTTCCATTCATTTAGGCATCTTGTTTTTCATACCAAGATCATGTTCTTCCTCTCTCTCTTTATATTTTTATAATGCTTAAGTTTTGTTTTCATTAATCTCTTGTTCATGCTTTTCATTTCTTTTACTATACTTAGTTAACTTATATCATGTTTATATTCTTATATAGTTTATTTATTTTTTTCTCCTTTATAATGTCTAGCTAAGTAAATTATGTCAAGATGAAAAGGTTTCATTAATAGAGTTAGGATAAGTATAATATAAACTCAATATGGACTTCAATGCTTATATCCTAAAAACTTGCTATTAACATGTCTTATTATTTTTATCTTATTAATTCTTAAAACCTTACTTCTTAAAAGGTTAATCTAGATTTGTGTTGTATAACACTTGGTACATCAAATACTTGATCGTTCATAGTCTTTGGCCGACATCGTTATTATGAGACAAACTTGATTTGTTGTCAACATAAGTTAGCATCATGAATACTTGATAAAATTTATAATTATGGTGTTATGTAAATAAGTTGATTAATATGATCATGTTGATAATTTATAAAGAGTTTATACTTTATTATCTCTAATACTATTAGTGTATCCTCTAACCTTGACATTTATTTTTATTATTATATAATCTTCACATTAATCTTACATCTCAAAGTTCTCTTTAACTTATCTTTACCACCACCACCACCATCATCATCATCGTTGTTGTTGTTGTTATTTATATAGTTAACTTCCCTATGGTTCGATCCTAGTCTTGCCGGGTTATTTATTACTTTGACACTCTTGCACTTGAGATAAGACATCAATTCTTTGATCGTGTCACATGTCTTTGCTGCTACTGTTGGTTAGCGAGATTTAGAGAAAGGGAACGCTGGAGGTGGTTGTTCACGGTGGCTAAGAGGTGAGTAGTTGAGAGTAGGGAGGTTGGCGTGTCCAGGCATGTATGGGGGAAGAGCTCGGGATGGCTGCTAGGGAACAATTTTAGGGAAGAAAATCAAAGGAAGAGGAGGGTGGTTGTTGCTATTTTTTTTTACAAAGGGCAAGGGGGCCACAACTAACCTCTGGTTCTAGGAGTGTAGAGAGAGGGAGACCATGGATTTATGGAGGCTAGTGTGCAAGGTAGGTTAGTCTATCGGGGTTGAGAGAGGAGAGGGACGATGAGTGTTGATATGACAACTTTGGTTTGTCTTTGGCCTTAAAGGAGGGAGGTGGTAGCTGTCCCTAAAGATAGATGAGATAAATGTAGGTTTCTTTTGTGTCTGTCCTTCTTTGTATAAAAAGTTTTCACTTCTATTTATAGATAACAAAGTTTGTTATTTTTAATTACTTGGTCCCCAAGCAACAAATTGGTCCCTTCACTTTTCCTTTTCATATTTGGTCCCTTGAATTTTTTGATTTTTTTATATGTTTGAATTTTTTTTGAAAATAAGCAATATCAACATCAACTCAACAAGGAAAATTTACGTGTTAAAAGTTGAACGCGTTCAAAATACTTTTAAAAATTTAAATTCTTTTAAGATGACATTGAAAACACAAAAAACGATGCAAATATATCAAAAATATATTTTTTTAGGCTTTTGTTGTTTTTTCTATTTTATGTTTTTTTTCCTAAAATTTATCAAAATATTGGGTCAAAAATTAGGTAGCAACGATAGTTATGTTGAGCAAGTGTTTGAAAGGTTTAACATGAATAATGCAAAACCAACGAGTACACGTTAACAAGTCATTTTAGATTATTTATTGCATAGTACCTAAGGATAGATGATGAAGTGAAAGATATGTCAATGGTCCTTTATGCTAGTGTAATAATGTATTTGATATATGCTATGGTTTGTACAAGACTAGATTTGGCATACATAGTTAGTATGGTGAGCAAGTTTTTTTCAAATTCAAAACGACAATACTTGGATATAGTCAAATGGATCATTAGATACTTAAGGGGTACTGAAAACTATGGTATTATGTTTAGTAGACAACATGGTAATCCTTCAGTTGTGGGATATGTAGATATAGATTATAAAGGGAACTTGGATGATAAAAGGTCTTCCATAAGTTATATATATACTCTGGTAGGGATGCCTATTTGCTAGAAGTCTATTTTTTTGTCTCTAGTTGCACTATCTACTATTGAATTAGAATATATAACTGTGGTTGAGGCTACTAAGGAAGTGTTATGGCTTACAAGTTTAGTAAAAAAGATGAGAATTCTAAAAGGTGGAGTTCAATTGCATTGTGATAATCAAATTGATGTTTACTTGGCAAAGAACTAAGTGTATCATGCAAGATCCAAACATATAGATACGGGGTTTCACAGGATTAGAGAATCGGTTTCTTCTAGTGAACTATTGCTTAAAAAAGTTCATGTTTATGAGAAAGCAGCAGAAATGTTAATAAAGCTTGTTACCATAGATAAGTTCAAGCATTGCATGAACTTGATTTATATATCTAGATACAAGATGAGAGATGTCGCAACCTATTGTACCAAGTGTGAAGTTTTCCCTACTTTTCTTCTAGGGGTGGATATTCATCTAGGTAGAGATTGTTGTAGTTTGTAACTAATATATAGATACCAGAATAGAGTGTATCAAGCGAAGCATAGTGAAAGGAGAGGAGAATTAGTAAGGTAGCTAGAAATTTTATGGCCAAAGGAAAATAAAAGGGAGGTTTGTGATTTGAATCTCTAACTAGTCCGAAACAAAGCATTATTATTCAAGTGGATATGAAGATTAAATGGTTGCAACTCTTCTAAATGATAAGGGTGCATTTTACAAGAATAGGGTGCGTTTTACAAGAACACAAATACGAGTTATACAATTGTCTTATTAACATCACATTATTGTAGTTTGTGGATAATATTTCATTCTTAAATAAGGATTTATTTCTTATTTTGTTGTTTGGGATGACTAATAGGTTGGGGGATACAAGGGTAACATGCACAAAATACGATAAATAAGTATTATGGAAAAATTATTAATACTCCTTGGATAAAGGATTTCTACATGATTTAGAATCTACTTTAAATATATATTATATAATCCTATTTTGACATAGCAAAAATAAATTTTTTTCATTCTTGTGGATGCGGATGCATCGCTGAATCACGTTAAATCTTTGGTTCTTTATATTTTTTTTATTGCAATATTTATTTATAATTGATGCAGGTTTTTCACAACAATCATCTTATTAAAGAAATATGGTCTCTATTTATGACAGTTTTAGTCCTTGTGCAGAAATTCTTAATAGAAATTGTTGTTATAGAACTAGTAATGAGAAGATAATCACGTTTTAGAATATGGACCGGTGCCATCACCATAATTAAGGTTGGCATTCCTAGCTTTATTCCTAGATAAGATGATCACTGTAACAAATTTTGGGTTTTAGAATGATTCTAATTAAACCAAAAATATTCTTAAAAAAACAATAACTAAGATCTTAGGATACTATCTAAGAGCCAGATTTGTTGCCTTTAGTTTTAATTGTGAGTCAAACTAAATAAGAAGACAAATGGATTTGGTTTCATGATGGCTCTGTGTGCTTGACGATTCTTAAAACAAATGGCCTTACAGCTTTAAACTAGTTTTGCACCAGCACTTCATCGCGGGACGATTAACTTTTTTAAACTAGTTTTGCACCTGCACTTCGCCGCGGGACGATTAATATTTTTTTAAAAGAAACAGAATATGCAAGCTCTTTTGCTGTAATCTTAGAAATAAGCTCTTTTGTTGTAATCTTAGAAATAAGAATTTCTCAATCACAAATAAAAATGTTTATATATGTATCAAATTAATTAAATCTTATTTTTATTTAGAAATAACAAAAATTAAGATATTTTATTTCATATTACAAGTTAGGTTATGTACTTAATTTTGTTTAACAACTATGTTTCTTAGAATATTATATTTATTTAGTGAAATATATTTTTTATATCTTAATTATACAACAATAAAAAAATATAATAATTTTTTTGTATGAAATATATTTTCAAAAAATATAAAAACCATGATAGGTGTGTAAGGTTGAGATAGCATAGATATATCATCGATAGCAAAGAGTGACATTGCATTATTCTAGGTTTGAATTAAATAAAAAAAGTAGATAATCAATAATAAAAAATGAAATTATATTTATTTTAGAAAAATTAAGGAACAAAAAAAGCATTAAACAAATAATAGCCCGAATATTATGGATTAAATTCATTAAACTTGCGACTTAACTAATTGACTCAGTTGAGTTCAATGATTTGTTTTATCAATATTTTAAAATTAAATATAGAATTAAAAAATAAAAATAAAAACAAAAAAGAGCTTAATTGTATGAGTTTGGACATTAAAAAAAAAAAAGAATCCAAGCGTGTGGGCCTTCCAGCTCAACCCTTGTGCCTGGACCTATCTTTAATTTTTTTATTTCTTAAATGGATGGAAACTTCTTCTTTCTAAATAAAAATTAGTAAACGACATGTCATCTATAATATACGAAATCTTGTAATTAGGGGTTGTTGGAAAATTAAAGATTCATTTTATGTAGTTAAAAATCCATTTCAACTTATTTTTTACTCAAAACACCTATAACACATCCTAAAAGTTTTGATAAACCTATCAATTGCCTAAAAACCCCCACAAAATAATGGCTCAAGGGACTCCAAAAAAAGAAAAAAAAAAGGGTTAAACTCTCCTTATCAAATGAAATCCATTACTATTAATATTGATTATTTTTGTGGCTAGAATAGTAAAAAAAATGGATACTTTATCTCTCTACATAGACATCCAATCCAATGAGCTTCTTTCTCCTTTTATAAAAATAGAACTAAAAAATAAAAAAATAAAATTTAACACAAAAATTGATTTTGGAACAACTAAAAAGATGAACTATCCAATATCTAAAAATAATAAGGAATTAAAATGAATTTCCTAAATGAAATTCAAGTTCACCATTTATTTTACTCATGTTTTTATTTTGGTCTTTTATCTTTGAATCAAATTTTTTCAAAAAATTTAAAACATTTGAGTGTTTATTTGGATTAAAAAAAAACAAAGAAAAAAAAAGATTTCATGACCAAGCTAAATTTTTTTAAAAAATCATTATTTCAATTAATGATAATTTGTAAGAGGATAAAAAATAAAAAATACTACAATACTTTCCCCCGTAAAGTTTAGTTTATGTTAATGTATTGAAGCACATTGTCCTCAAAGGTTGAAAAGCTTCCAACTTAAGTTTCTCCATATCGGGTAGGAATTATAGAACAAACAGGAAGTTCTTGCTCATTCTGCAGTGATATTACTGAATCCACCAATCATTTGTTGCGTTATCATCACAATTATAGAACATACGATTTTTTGTCTTTCTAGAAGCACATATTCTATTGGAAGAAAACAAAGGAATTTAAAAAACAGTTTAGAAATAATGTAATACTCTAATTTTCTAGAAATTAAAGTAGAGTTAAAAAAAGACAAAACTTCTTGTTTAAATACAATATTTCTTCATCCAAAAAACTTTGAAAAACTAGTTTTTCAAATTTATATAGAGTTTGAAAAACATAATTTAAAGGTTCTCTATGGTTTCCAATACAAGTTTTCAATTATTTTCCAAATAAAGAAAAAACATGAATAATACACACACACACAAGCACTTTTCAACAATATAACAAATTTAAATTACTTCTTAAAAAATTTTCATATTTAATTAGTGATGTAAATTAGTTTTTTTCTAAATAACTGGCCAATGCTCCACTGCGAACCGAATTAAAAAAAATAATGTAAAATATATAACATACAAACATCTCTAATATATTTTTTTAGTTGTAAGACAAATATTAATTGTCAACTAAAAATTGAATGCATATATTTAATAAAATATATTAAAGATTATATAGACCACCTTATTAACGCTAATTAAACATCAAGCCGTGAAGCTAAGAAATAGATCTAAATTAAGCTATTCAATCTTATATTGCAGTGAATTCTTAAGTTTTTATTTTATTTTATTATAATTTTTTTTAAGGAGAGTAATAATTTAAATCTCATTAAAACAAACTAATTTTCAGTTTCAACAAAAAAAAAAATCTAACTTTTTCCTATATTCCATCCATTTAATAAAAATTAAAAGCAATTAAAACACATAAAAAATAGACAATATCAAATAATAATAAAAAAGGTATTTCTCTAATTAATATCCATTTATCTCATTAATGTGCTTAATCTTTTTTCAGAAATACTTACCAAAATATTTTTTTCTAGACAACATCTTACCATAATTCTAAAGCAAAGTTTTAATTTAAAAAATAAAATTTTGATAATTTTAATGTCAATGTATTAAATAACATAAAAATAAAACAACGTTTGAATGGTTATGGGGGGGGAATCTTTGGTAACATGATTAAACCCTTTTTAGTTCAAAGTTGTTCCCTTTTTTTTTTGGGTTAGTCATTTATTTTGAAAAAAGTAAAAACCTTTTCGATCAAATATATGATAAAATATATGGTACATTGGTGCTCCTTCAAAGGTAGAGATTTATCCATGCTTTTATATCTTGAATAAATTACTTATAAAAATTTTTTGTATGACGAAATATGTTACAATGTTGTGATTTAAACAGTTTTTTTTTGTAAAAAAAAAAAAGATTGAAACCATAACTCATATTTTACTTTGCTATGAAATGGTTTGGAGGTTATGGTCATGGGTAGTAGGTTGGTCAAGCAAATAATTGATCTTACCTTAGAGATTCTTAATCCTAGAAATTTTTTTTTTTATTATGGAACAATGGGGATTTCTGCCAAAAAAAAAATGGTTGTTCTTCCTTGGTATAACTTGGTCTTTGCAATGCTTGTAACAACCTAGTTTTTCATGAGAAATAAATATAGTAGGATGTTGTGCATTATTATTTTTTTCATCATGTTGTTATTTGGACAAAATATAATGATGGGAGTTTCTGTTATACGAGATTAAATTTATTTTGTTCATCAAATTATATTTTTATGTTGACTAACAAGACAAATATGAAAAATGATTCTTCTTGGCTGCCACTTTTATAAGTATGCTTTTTTCAAATGACAAACCAAGGCCTTTAGGAATTGATAGTGTTCTTAAAGATCATGAAGGGCAATTCCTTTGCATTTTTTTTGTTTCACAAGTAATATTGAATCTAATGAAGCCAATAAATCAATAAGTTATGAAATCAAATTTTTGCTATGCTATTACTTAGATTGAAGGAAAAAATATTATACAACCTTGGTACTTGTAAACTAAATTCAATGATATTTCCAATGCCTATAACAAGTCTTATATTATGTGTTTAGAACATGTTTATAGAGAGAAGAATCATGTTGTAGATTATTTGTTGAAGCAATGAACTTTTAGAGAAGATAACTTAGTTATCTAGTTATAATTTTTATCATTTAGGGTCTATCACTATTTTATGTGGTTTATTTGGGTAGTTAGTTTTTTTGACTTATATGAGTTTTTCTTTTTATACTCTTCTCTTTGATAAGCCATGTTCTTAATGGATATAATAGATGTCCAAGAAATCTCTCACATTTAATAAAAAGAAAAAAAATTATGTATCTAATATATTTTTAGTTAATTATTTTTAAATCAATTTAATTTAATTTGAAATAAAAATAAAAATGAAGGGTCATAACATGCCACACATTTTATGTTATTTCTTAAAGGAAAATAGTTAATGAATTGCCTACAATGGTAGGGGAATCTTGCTGGATTAGAGAGTCCTTTTTTTTTAAGAAAAAGTTAGTTTTTCGAGCATAATTTCATCTATAAACTTCCAAGGCAAACCTTATAATCTCAATAAATTTGTATCTAACCTCAACACAATGTTTAATCTATCCAAAAGCAAATACTTTCTCCTAAATAAAAAAATAATCTTTATTCCCAGTCTACTTTTGAAACATTATGATTAAAAAACCTTTAATAAAACTCTTTTTATAAAATGAAATTCATTGACACCAAAAATGAATTTTTTTAGTCGTCAAAATATGGTTAATTGATAATTTTTTTCTCTCTCATGTTTTCAAGCAACTCTCTCTACCCTCTCTAATTCAGGGATGGAAATGTGAACAAAATGAAGCTTTAGGCCACAATGTAAAAACCTTTGATTTTTTAAAATTTATTTTCTAATATTTAGTATGATATGTCATGTTTCTACCATGTTTTTAGTTTATTTTATAATTTAATATTTAGGATGATATATCATGTGATTGCAATTAACAGAAAAAAAAAACCTTGAATTTGATACAATTTAGCTCATAAATATGATAAAAACAAATAAACCAATGTGAAAAATAATTAGTTTGAAACTTAAAGGTCAACCTAAGTGACAACACTATTGTTTTAGTGGCATATTATTCTATGGCACATTTTGAAACTTTAGTTGTTTGACACCTTTCATGAGAAATTGATCAATAAGCGATCACAAAAAAAAAAAACAAAATATCAAAAGAGAAAACTTTATTATAAAGATGAAATTAGACAAAATAAACCTAATTAATAAAAAGAAAAATTTCTGAAAAACAGTAGTAAAAAACTAGTAAGAAGCTAATTATATTGGGTGAGCTTTAACTAATCAGTTTACTCCCCTTGTGGTCTCAGGATTGAGTCCTGAGGTTGCTAATATTATAGCCACTAGAGATTTACCTGGTCGTTAACTATACGGCCTATAAGGATTAGTCGAGATGCGTACAAGCTGACCCGAATACTTTATATGAATAAAAAAAATAAAAAAAATATCGACAAGCTTTGTCAATCGATCCTACCAAATATAATGACCTAAGCAACCTAGAAGCTTATGAATCGAATGTAAACTTAGGTCGTATATGAAAATACATGTAGTGGTCCCTACAATGAACCTAATGATTATATCATTTCTTGAGAATACGTGGAAAACAACTTGACAAAGTAGTTATAGTAGAGAAAAAGATCAAAAAATAATCGAAAAGCTCGTAAACAAATGGACTAAAATAATAATCATGCCCTAGGGAGAGGGAGAGGTTCTGATAGTTGTATGTTTGTACAAAGAATTATATGTTTGTATTATGATGATAATTTGAAAGGCTACATAGCTATATATATAAGTTTATAGGCACAACAAATGAAAATATAACCAAGATGTCATTAATATTATCACAACCTACAGTAAATTTTTTTATTTTGGATCTTATGGTTTTCAAAATGTTTCTTTTCTATCGTTTGAGTTTAATTTTTTTTCCTAATATTTCCTATAGGGGTTGGAGAGAATTTTCAATATGGATATTTCATATTGTTATTATTGTTATTATTACTGCTACTACTACTACTACTACTACTACTATTATTATTGTTATTATTATTACTACTATTACTACTATTTTTAGTATTACTACTACTATTATTATTGTTATTATTATTACTACTATTACTACTATTTTTAGTATTACTACTACTATTATTATTGTTGTTGTTGTTGTTGTTGTTGTTATATTATTGTTATTTATAATTTGAACAATTAACCTCCCTGTGGTTCGACCCCGGTCTTGCCGGATTATTTATTACTTCGACACTCCTGCACTTGGGAGAAGACATCAATCTTTTAGTCGTGTCAGATTGCATCCATGACCTGTGTTACAAATTTAATGATTAACCTAGATTAATCGAGATTGTTCAATATGTTATCGACTCAATATTACACAAAAAAGAAGTCACACTAAAGTCAAATTGGCTTTTTCTTAATTAGGTAATGAACATTGCTTAAAAAACTATGTTTATTCATGCATACGCTCCTAAGTTTATTTTAATAGATGCATATATTTATTTTTCATTAAACAAACGAATATGCAAGCATACGTTTCATGCTTGTTTGAGTAATAGCAATGAGATTCCCCACTATCATGCTCAGAATAGCTAGGATTTCCAGAAGAAGATGCCATTCATTTGATGAGAAATAAAAACAATGAGATTCCCCACTATCATGCTCAGAATAGCTAGGATTTCCAGAAGAAGATGCCATTCGTTTGATGAGAAATAAAAAGGAATATCGAAAATTCGAGTGGCTGAAGCTGAAGCAGCTACTTTCGAAGTAACAGAAAGAAAAGCAATGACTGGAGTAGGAGAGTCAGAGTCGAAAAGAGGATTCCTCACTTCTTTCTCTCATTCAAAACCGTGCATGAGACTTTTATCTCGCACGGCTCCTAAGTGATAAAAGAAAGAAGAACTCATCTTCTTTCTTTTTTGATTACCTTCCTTGCGTATGTATAAGACCGAATCCATTCGATTTCTAAAAAGGATTACTAATCCTTTGTTTACAGGTAACTTGAAACAGAGCATTCTGTACATTTTTCTCCTTGCCAGTAATCTGCAAAACATATAACAGTTTGGGAATAAATCGCTAGTTAGGTGGTACCGAAGATTTTAACCAGGTAGATACGGGACTGGGAATTCAAACAAAAAAATGGACATAAATCTTCAATAGAAGCTCCAAATACTTTACCATGTTGGCTGATCACACTCCATTCCAAGGTATAAACATCCCAGTATCTATCTATAGTTCTATACCAGTTTTCATCCTGGATGATCAAGAAACATTCCCTACTTTGAAATGAGGCAATATCAAAGAATAAAAGGCAAACGATAAGTGACAGAATTCTTGGTACATTTAAAATATTGCTTACCTACATAACAAACAACAAAAACATCAAATTTTTATATAATAAGATAAATGAAAAAAAAAAACATCCACATACAATCGATGCGCAGAGAACTGGTAGAGCTTTGAAAATGTAACAAGAAGAGGTGAAATTTGCTAACCAAACTGGATGATGACAACGACAGGTGATGATGAAGTGTTGATTGTTCTTGGAGGGAGAGGAGCAGATAAATGATTACAAGCACAAATCACGGCAGCAGCAAAAATCACATTAAGCAATGATTATTAGACTCAATAACATACTTCAACCCGGTTTATGTTGTATACTAAAATCCTTTTAATGTCACAATAACTTGAAAACAAATAAAAAAAAAGTTAGAAGATAAAAATTGCACCTGCACCACTGCATCATTCTCTGAAGCGAAATCAAAGAATTGGTCCCCTTGCATTATCTGTATATCAGCACCAGTTGTTCCTATCATTTCTGAATCTACCCTACCTCCTCTTCCAATCAAACAAGAGACCCTATTTGATGGCAGCAGGAGGGTTGCTGTCACGGTAATTTCCTCAATCAAGCCCAAGGAACGAGCTCTATCAATGTCATGCTCAATAGATCTAGCAAAGACAAGAAGAAGTGCATTCTGTGCAGGAGAGTGGGATGATTCAAGGTTCTCCAATGCAGAAACAGTAACTAGACGGTCATCGGAGTTGGTTATAGGAGGAGCAAAGATGATAGAAGCACCAGTTTTATTTTGCAGAGCTCTGACTACAGACCCTCCCTTGCCTATGATGATCCCAGCTGCACCATGGGAGCAGATCATCCTAAATTGAACTTGTGACTGTTCATTAGGTTTCTTATGGTCTCCATCAGTTGCAATATTTTCAGAATATGTGGGTAGCAGGGAACACGAATGAGGAGAGAATTCAGCATTTGGATCACCAGAGGAACCACTTCTCCTTCTCCTAACAGCTCCAAGTCCTAAACCCACTTCATCCTTCTCGCATGGAGGATAATCTTGAAGGCAGCTAGTTACAGCAATCACTGCTTTCTTTACAGCCATAGCGCTACTGCCTGCAATCTTTGTTTTTTTTTTTTCAAACACCAATTTTTTCAAATATCATTTCTGATAATATAAAAGATTTTATTTTCTTAAACTGTGATGTAAAAAATTATATTTCTCTCCTACAAAAACACAAAATTTATCATGAATGATTATAGGACAAATCTGTAGGACAAGAAAACAGAAGAATTAAACCTGAATTAATTGATCTTCCTTCAAAGCGCATAGAGGAGCCGGGAGAATCCAGATATGGGCTCCACTAGTTCTCTTCATTCTCTTGATATCCCTGCCTTCTCTACCCACAACGGCACCAATCTGCGACGTATTGGCCAAAAGTCCACAATAACCCTCGTATTCACCACCATCCTTCTTCCCATCCCCCCTCCACATCCTCTCTAAAACCCTAACCACCGCCTCCTGCGCTCCAGACACTTCCACCGTCTCACCTTCACCCACCGCAATTTTCCTCTCTGGGGACGCGGACCCCACCACCACTATTACCCGGTGCTCCGACCCCTTCACCGCCTCCTCGCAGTGAACTAGGCAACCGGCTTCAAGCCAGATTGGGGATATTACGGAGCTGGAGTGGCTGATGAGACCACCGATTTTCGAAACATGACAGACTACTCGGAATGCAACCTGACCCGGTTGGAGCTCGATCAACGGCTTTCGTGGACGACCCTTGTGACGGTGGTGCTTCTGCTGCTGCTGCATTGAGTAGAGAAGAGGAAAAGGAGCGGAATCTTTTTCAGAGTAACAGTTGCACGGAATTAATTAATAGAACCTCTTTCCGTGGCAAAAGTGGCGTGACTACGAGGGTGATTGTTTTGGTAGTAGAAAGTGTGGTGCAGTTTCACCACAATAACACAGGTTTAAGAAGGGGGGATTCATGTCAAAACGTGGTCCAACCACAAGTTTAATCAAAAGCATGCTTCACCTACTTTTAAAATTCTTGTGCAGAAAGTAATTGAAGCCGGCCACGAGTTAATCAAAAAAGCAGGCTTCATCTGCTTTTAAAATTCCTGTGTAAAAAGTACTTCAAGATAGAAGACGTTTTCTTCTCTTTTCTTTCTTTTTCTTTTTGTTGATCACAAATCCTCTCTTCCCTGCTCAGTAAAACAATTATTCTCATCGTCCACTCTTCTTAATCTCTTTTTCAACAACCTCTATTTATTTAGGCCACAAACATTGCGAAACCCACAAACCATCACCGGAATTACACAAACTACCATCAACAACCGACAACCAAGATTTACACAAATCACCGCCAAATATGTTTGTTTAAGTCCTGAAGGTCCTTCTTTTCGGGTCCGGGCTAGTGTTTTCGCATAAAAATATAGGTAGATTTTGATTTTAATATTTCAAAACATGCTTGTTCTTAAAAATATCAAATCCAATTTATTTTTAAAACTATATCTCTATTTATTATTGCAGGAGCCGTTGATCTGGTATTGATAATTCTTATAAGCACTCGTGGTTCTAATCTCTTTCTTTCCCAATTTATTTTTATTCATTGAAATTTTAGTTGTGGTTTTCTTCCATTTCTATTATGGTTTGCCAGGTTATTTTATTTTTGTATGGAATAAAAAGGGTACTTATGTTTAGCTATTCTTGGCACATTGCCTGCTTTAAAAGCTTGTTTGAAAATGTTTATGTGGGGCTGCCTACTTTAAATGTTGTTATGCAAATGTGTGGGGTATCACAAATAAATAGTCTTTATAGTTATGTGGGTATCACATTTTATTTTATTTTATTTTATTGTAGTTTGGATGAATTTGCATTTGAAATATTGACTAAACTTGCATCTTTTCCTGTATAAATGTTGCATATTGGTAAGTTTATATATATATATAGTCTTAAGGTAACTTATTCTCTTTTCATTGTTATAGATAAATAATAGTTTTATATTTTCAAACTCATATTAAAACATACCTAACCAGATTATAATATAAATTTTATATTTTAATTTGTCATTCAACAAATTACACATTTGACTGTAGTTTTAAATCATTTTTGAATTCTTATATTATTAGTAGGCCTAAAAATGTTATAAAATTGCAATGTTTTGGACCTTTCTTGAGCTTTTTATTGCAAAGGCTAATACAAAATGACAATAGATGACTATTTTATATATTTTTCTTCTTCTTTAATGACTTTGGATTCCGACTATTTATTTGCATATGGTGAAAAAGCTGGCTAAATATACTTTTTGTCAAAACATTCATGATTTATGTGATCAAATCTATATAAAGAATAATAATAAATTTTAAAGTAAAATTTTATATTTTTAATTTGAGGAAGCCGTTCAAGTAATAAATTTTGAATCAAACATATAAAATCTTTGTTTTATTTATCCATGTGAATGGATTTTTTAAAAATTTATATCTATCATTGTAGATATAAAGGCCAAATAATTCAATACTCTATTCAAAGATACATTTGATAAGGATTATGATAATGTAATAAATCGTGTTGATAATTATGTTACTAGTGGTGGTGGTGGTGGTGGTGATAATGGTAACAATATAAATGATAATGACGACAACAAAAATGATAATGATAAGGTGGTAAGCTATTTTAGAGGCACAGATCATCATAAACTAGTAGTAGTGTATATGGTTGGAGCTCTCTCCATGTATTATAATAATTATATATATAAAGAACCTTATATGGTTTCATGCAAGGACATCAGAAAAGATATATAAACATGTTTAGGATGAATGCAATGATATTTTAAAGCTTGTGCTATGATTTACAAACACAATATAAGCTAAAAGCTTTGAGAATGATGAGTGTTATTAAAAATAGGACAATGCTTTTGTATACATTAGCATTAAGCACTTCAAATAAAGAGGTTTAAGAAAGATTTTAGAATTCAAGTAAAAATGCTAGTGGATACTTTAATAAAGTTTTGAGAACAATATGTTCACTCATAGTAGATGTTATAAAATCATAAAACCCTGAATTTAAAAGCATACCATGGGGAATTGCAACAAATTCAAGATATATGACTCATTTCAAGGTAACACTAATATATTTCTTTATCATTTAGATAAATTTTTTTCAATCATTTAAAAAGTGATGCATCTTTTTTTTCTTCATGTAGAATTGTGAAAGAGCTATTAATAGCACACACGTGTGTGCTTATGTATATGAAAAAAATCAAATTCTATTTATTGACAAGAAAGGTGTATTGACTCAAAATGTAATAGTTGTGTATAACTTTGATATGCAATTCATATTTTTTTGAATTAGATGGGAAAATAGTGTTTATGACATGCGTATTTCTCTTGAGGCAATTGACAATCCTAGCATCAAATTTCTAAAGCCACTAGAAGGTAATAACATAAGAAAAATTTAATGTTATTTTATGATGAAGCTCTAATCTTTCGTTAGGGAATACCTTGTAAATTTATTACTTGTTATCATAGCAGATATTATTTAGCAGATTCTGGATATGCAAATAAATAGGGAATTTAGGTTCATATAATGATAAGGAATATAACTTGCTAGAATTTTATTAATGATGACAACCAAGAAGTTAAGATAAAGTATTCAATCATCCACACTCGTCAATACACTGTATGATGGAATGTATATTTGGAGTGCGGAAAAATTGATTGAGAACTTTGCAAAACATACTCGTGTGTCCTTCCAAAACACAAGCTCAGATCATAGTGGCATTAACAACACTACATTACTATATTAAAAGAAAGTCACGGGAAGATATGATATTTACAGAATGTGATCATCATCCTAATTTTGTCCCAAATAATTTTTTAACTGATGTCATTTCATATTCGCAAAGTCATGGATACTAGAGACCTTCTCAAATAAATTATGTTTTTGATAAGATTGCAGCTAGTTTAATAAAATAATAAAAGTAAAATCATAATGTCTAATTGTTTTAGTTATGATGGATTGATAATCCAATGCACATTAATGTAATTGCAAACTAATAAATTAGTACAAGTTTTTTTTAAATATTTTACTAGTAACATCACTTTCAACCATGATTTTAATCAAAAACTTTTGAATTATTTTTTATTCAATAACAATTTCAAATATAACCTTAACCAGATATATAATTTAATCCAACCAACTATAAATAAAAATAATTTTCCTTAATTAATTTTTTTTCAAACTACAACTGCAAAAACTATTACAATAGTAACTACATTTTAAACCTCAAGTGGTCTCACAAGTCTTTAAGCATATGAAAGTTTTTAGAAAATTTTTAAAATCTTTTATGTTAGGCCTTTAGTTCCGCCTCTGCTTAATCCTGAATTTTTTTAAGAAACTTTGAGTAACTATAATCCCGATTGAATCTTGTAAAAATATTTTAGTTTGGTTTTATATATTTAATTTTTAAAATTTTTATCAGACTTTATAATTTATTTTTTTTATTTTGTAAAAATAAAATTTGAAAGAAAAAAAGAAAAATTGGTTTTTCAATTTGTTTGGTTTTTAAACCAAATAAATCAAAAATCAAACAAACCAAATGAGGTAGTTGGTTCAATTTTGTTGTTTCAAGCCAAACCGACCAAGAAGTTTTGGATTTGAAAAAAAGCATGCTACTTTAGAGAAAGAGAGAGAGAGAGAGAGAGAATTTCTACCCAAGCCTTGTTAGAAAAAAAAAATTTGAAAATCAAATTTCATGAAAAAATAACTATTTTTAATGTTTGGTTAGACCATAAAATAATGATCTTGAAAAAAAATATAAAAACACCATTATTTTCTCCATAGAGTTTTGAAAAATCCAAGCATCTTATAAATAGATAGAGAGGTACGAATTTTTCAAACGAACCATATTCCTTTATATACGTTAAGAGTTCATTGTTGAGAAGGGGCTGGGGAAAGCTTGAACCAAATTCCTACAATGATGAATAAAAGCGTAATTGAAATTCCCGGGGAGTTCTATATTTGTGCATTAATAAGAACATTCATTATTTGTTAAAGCTCGATCTCTCCCCATAATGAACCACATAGCCAAGAGAAACCATGAACTAGAATAGAAGAGTTTGCCCCACCCATGAGTAAATATTTCCTAATAACCTCACTAGACCATGCATCTTTCTTGGTATATCCAGATAATAGATATGAGCATAAACTGAAATATTCTGAAGCTACAAAGATAGTTATTAAATCGTTAGCACCATATAAAAACATTCCTCTTAGAGTAGCTGTTAATACGAATAAGAGAAAATCTGTTATAGCCATTTCTGTATATTCAATGTACTTTATGGATAGAGGAATACATAGAGTTGAACATAGAAAAATAAAAAATTGAAAGATTTCATTGAAATTGTTCGTTTGGAAATTTCCCAAAAAGCTAATCATAGGTTCTTATCTCTATCGGAATAATAGGGTCGTTATACTCATTACTAAACTTGTTAAAAAGATGAAATATAACCAAAGCATATGTTTTTTATTAGGGGTTGAATTGATCATCATTAGAAGAATTAGGCCAAAAATTAGAATACATTCTGGAAAAATAAAACTTCCATCGAAGAGAAGCAAATGAAAGGCTTTCATAAAAATTCTTGTAGAATTAAGAATGAAGTTTTCATTCTATACATGTCAGATCATAAATTAGTAACTGCATCCAATCTTCAAAAAAATCTCAATTGTTTTGAACTTTCTCTTCGTTTTTTTAGAATAGGATATTTACGGAATCCCCATAAATAGGATCAAACCTTATTCCATGGTATTTACCTCTTTCTTATTCTTAAGCAAATCTCCAAAAGGGCTTAATTGATCCATGATTTATGTTTAATATTTCATTTCCTTTTCGTTTGTTTTGAGAAATATAGTGATAAATTCTGATTCTTTCTTTTTCTATTGATTCTTTTTCGATCGAGATGTATGGCTCCATAAGTATATGTGTCTATATAGATATAGATCATGTTCATGGATTAACAAAAATGTGCAAAAGTTCTATTTGCCTCTACCATTCTATGAGTCTCTTCCTTTTTGCATATGGCATCGTCACTCCCTTAGATAGCATCCATCAATTCAGAACTCAATTTGAAAACCATATTTCATCCTGGATGTTTTTAGGATACTCCTAATAACTAATGAATGGCAAGTGTTTTTTCTTGTGTGGATCCTATTTTAATGGGAACTTGATGAGTCAATCCGCCTACACTTCTTGCTTTTACTGTTATATCGGGAGTTACTCCACGTATTGCTTGATGTAAAACAGATAGTGGATTTGTTTCTGTCTTTTGTTGAATCTTTTTTATGGCTCAATGAAGAATTTGATAAGCCAATGATTTTTTTTTGTGTTTCAAAATACGGTTAACTAGCAT